TTGAAACTGAACAAAATACAACAACATTCACAATGGCAATGGTTACGTTTTCACACATTCACACAGCAGCAGGTTAGTTAGGATATAATTTCATCCCTTACTAAATGAATCATCTCATTACTTCTTTCCTTGTGTTGTCTATGATATTAGACTAAGCTGATCTGAAATATTTCAGTTCAGCCAAATAAAGCAAATACTTTTTCATAGCTCTGAAAATGATCTAATTTTGAATTTCAGGTCATAAGAGAAACGATAGCGGTGGGATATGCTCCATACACAGGTATCTTCATTTGAAAGGAGCAAGGTGTGGTTTCTCAAATGAATTATTAAACATCCGCAGGCTGGGATTTACAAGATCTGAGACACGGGGAGCTACAAAGGACAATCGGGTCGGCTTCTGCTTTGAAATGAGACAGAATCTGTTGATCTGTTTTCATGAGTACAGTGTGAATGAAAGCGCATCGCAAAAGGCTGGCAGGACTACAAATGTCTCGTCATTTCAAACACAGAAACAAAAGCTAACAACGACGTAAGAGATTTGTTAATGAAATTAAACTTAATTTAGTTTAAACACCTAATTGTGACGATGGTACATTCTGAATTTGGCAGGTTTGTCAGCGTATAAAAGCTAAATTTGAACTAAAGGAGTAAAAGATTGAGTTACTACCGGGCAGCTGTGCAATGGGACAGAAGGTTCCTAATGCGTGCGGTTGAAATGTTTGTTACCTTGTGGGTGTGTCGGTTGTGGCAGCCATCTTGGAACCCTATTCAAACCCTGCTGTTTTATAGAAAGAGCAGCGATAAGAGCTAGAGTTTAATTGGTTGAATCTTAAAGGCGTTGAAAAACTGAAATGTTTTCTAAATTGTGTGTTTTCATACAGAAAACATCAGCCTGGTATGTTATCAATGATAAATAACTGTTACTGTTGACGTTTTGTATGCGAAAGTTAACTTTGTTTTCTCTTTTTTCCTCACGCTGAATGGCTGAGGTGATTGGCCGAAGTAAATTGATCAGGCGTGTATTTTTTACCAGTGGATAGGTATAAAATTGATGGGAGGGCTGCCATTTTGTAAATCTGCTGTGTTGAAGACTTAATAAAACCATCTTTATTTGCTGTATAGCCAAGATTGTCTGTCAGAGAAAACATCTAAGGGTATTGTGAAAACAACTAACGTTGGGTCGAGACCCGTCCAAAGTATTACTAAAAACTGGAAGGACCGATTTGCAGAAATGTGGTTGTGGGAGGAACAAACCCTAAATGACCACAATAGGTGATCACTTCAACATTTGGAGCCATTTAAGAGTGATTGTTTCTACCATTGTTAAAGAACAACAATGGTAGCACTCAAGGTTATGTTTGACAGTGAAAGTAGGAGCATTTCCACATCCACAATGTGAGAGGAACTCAAGGGTTTGTGACTGAACAGATGTGTAGTCATAAAACCACTCATCAGTCAGGCGAACGAGAGGAACAAGCTTTAATTTGCAAAGCAGTGTAAAGATTGGACTCTAGAGAGATGGAAGAAAGGTCACGTGATCTGATGAGACCAGATTTGCCCTCTTGCATAGTAACTGGCTCATCAGCGTGATCAAGAGAGGCAGATGAAGAGATGAATCCATCATGCATAATGTCTACTGTGACAGCTATTTGATCTGCCGTTGCTGCATTTGGTCAGGTTCAAGGTTCAACAACACTATAAGATCACCAGACTTGAATGATTGGGTTATTTCATTTGTTTCTTCTATGATGACACGAGGCTGTTCCAGGATGACGATGTATTTTCAATCGGCTGAAAGTGTGAGCAAAAGTTCAGACCTGAACTCCATACAGAATCTTTGTGAGGTTCTGGAGAAGCTTTGCTCGATGGTTACTCTCTCCCATCATCAATACAAGATCTTGGTGAAAAATTAATGCAACACCGGATGGAAATAAATCTCGTGATGTTGCAGAAGCTTATTGAAGTTAAATGCATTGCTAGAGAAATGCTAGAGCGTGACTTTCTTTCTTTCTGTTTTTCGTGCCAGGCAGTGTATATCTGGTGGGATGTTACTGTCACGTTATCCGAGATGCTTTACAAATGTGAAATTCTCATGTTGTCCACATCTGCATATGACCTGCGCCAGGAATGTCACCCTTCCACACTCGCATGCTGACTATGCAAACCAGGGACGATGGCTCCTGTCCAGATCTCAGCCCCGCTGCCTCTGTTGCTTCTCCCAATGTGATTCTCAAGCGCGAGTGGCTCTGGTCTCAAGGTCATTGCGTTTGATGGGATTGTGCTTCTTTGCGCACCCTTGGAGTTTATCCTTCTCGAGCTTCCAGGCGGGATGCGTTGGCCCCTCTCAACGAGGCATTCTGCACGGAGCGGATCCTCCTGTTTCTGTCCCACAGCAACAGCGTAGATCATCCTGAAGGTGACAGTGAGCCTCGCATCGGGATAACAAGGCCTGGGGACCAAACTGTGTCGCATCCATGATCTGTGGAAAGAGCCGGCCTGTATCGATCGTATCTTTGCCTCTGGGAGACATAAAAATGTGCGCACGCACACCCAGCAAGTGAGGTCATGAGGAATGTTGCGGGAAGCCGTAGCAGTGCATAAATCACTTATTAATTACAAGGATAAAAGCAAAAGCCTGGGAAAGGAAAATATGACGGAGAGCTGGAACTGGAAGACATTACACCATGTTCCAAATTATTATGCAAGTGATATTTTCATGAATGGTAACACAAATGATGAACTATTACAGTGTAAATCAGATTTTATAGAACAAAGCCCCTCATGAGAACAGTTTTTTTTTTCATACGGTACTACACTATCTGATGATTTTCGTCAGCAGAGAGATTCTTTCTCTTTCCCATGTTGCTTGAAACCTGTGGCCTGTTGAATAATGTGGAACATCCTTCAAACGCCACTTTTAATTTCCTCAGTTTAAACTTGCAGGCGCCACATTGATTTTAATGACACACTTACATGTGTATCTTAGAAAGTAAAAATCTTTCTACCATGTTTTACTACTGTCGATGCAGGAGCGGCCATTTTGAAAGTTGTAAGTGGGGCGTAGTTTCAGGTGCTGTTACTTTCCTAGTGGGAAATCTGTTCAAATTGATTTTTCAGACAGAAATCAGAATTTCCCAGTTCTGAGTGCAACTGGAACACAGCGTGAGATTCGGGTTGAGAAATAATCTCAGGGAAGAATTAAGGTATATAATCCTTGAGAGCGAGACGCTTGAACTCTCCAGACCAGGATGTCCTCAAAAGAAAGTCATATTTTATCAATTTTAACATTATTGAAAAGTTTGTTTATTTCTATATATTTTTTTGTTGGTCTTGGGTAATATTTTAACTTCCTGAGAAGCATATTTTTAGTTTCTTGTTAAATGTCAGTCATAATAATTAGTAGAGGAGATAAGCATCCCTTACTGCAATAAATCCTCTGTAATTGACATGTCATTTTAAGGTTTTGACCAGAATGATTGAAATAAAGGAACATTTACACAATACATCGAAGCATAAAAAAATTGTCCCAAGCATATTTTCACCTTCACACACAGTTTCTCGACACTTGAATCCTTCCTATGCATCACTGTGACAGACTGAAAACTGTCCTGCCCTTCCACATTTAACACCAGCACCGCAATTTCCTGGGAGGCAATTACAAAACGCTGCTATCTGTCTGTTTACAGACTGATAAACTTTTGCTGTCAGCAGGTAGCTTTTCTCCTGTTAACAGAATGACTGGCTACGGAGGGGAAACGGACCCAAAAATAAGCCATAAATCTGGGCAGGGAAATGCACAGCGTCTCCAAAAGGCGCGCAGGTGAGACCATAATAAATCATTTCAGAACTATTTTCCCGCTTTTAATGGCATTTATTGTGTATGATCCAACTTTAAAAAAATGTCAGGGGGGAAATATTTATTAAAAAGTTCAGGAATGTGTGTCTTGTTGCACACTGTCATACCAAAAACGGAGCACTATTTATTAAAGTATAAAAAGTAACAAAGTCAAGTTCAACTTAAAACATCTCGCGACATTATTGATCGATCGACATTCTGTTTGTCTTCATTAATTGTAGGTGGAAGCTACAGTTAATGAGGAACGTGTGTGTGTGTGTATGTGTGTGTGTGTGTATTTCAACAATGAGTTTGTTCTATCTTGGCAAAATAGTTTGCTTCTGACTTCCTAATAGTTTGTATGTCTAAATGACACTACAGTCCAACACCACTTGCATTAAATAGTTGCCAAACCAACCAATAGCAAGAGACGCTGACTCCCAGTTGAACCCACGCAGGAAAATAACATTTTTTCAGGACACAGCTGAAAGAATAACTGTCCATTTTTGCTATACGTTAATGAAGGGTTAGGGTTAGGGACAAACTCGTTAAATCAACAACTCGATGTCATCTGTTGGGTTTCGTTGACAAAAATCCTTTTTCAGTGACTCCACTAATCAGTATCATTGTTTTTAAACGTGTGGTTTGATTTGCTAAACTTTTGTGCAATCAGGTCGCACGGTGCAGATTTTCTGCCCAGGTCCCTCTCGTAAATGAGATTTAGATTTCAAATGGGATCATCCCTGGTTAAATAAAAACCAATAGAAACAACCGACCTCACCAATAAACTGAATTTGAATGCATGTGCTATCAAATAATATTGAATTGTCTTGAGGTTGTGAATTGGATCTTTTTCAAGTTTTTTGTGTTTTCCATATCTGTTGCTTTCATGGCCCCCATTCCCTCATGCCGCCCTGGGCAACTGCCCACGTGACCCACATTAAAAACATCACCGCTGGATGTAGGAAATATCAAAGTCCTGTCGACAAAACAGTAATAATCAGGACGGCAGCGGCTCACAGGAGAGTCGCGTGAAGCTCAAGACTGTGTTGGTGTGTGGGGTGAGGAGAGAGGGAGGGAGAGAGGGAGGGGTGTTTAGGTGGGAGTCGTGGGGGCTACAATATGAGGAGCAACGTCGCAGGAGGAGCAGATGCGACGGGCGAACTGCCGGGAGCGGATGTTAATTAGCGGAGGAGACGTCAGCGGGGAATAACCGGGCTATGAGGTCCTGAGGAGGAGAAGTCGCCCGGCGGGCTGCCATGGGCATCGACCGGCGGCGGAGAGCCTCCCTGGCTCTCGCCCTCAACTTCCTCGCGCTGCTCCTGGCCGTGTCGGCGCTCACCACCAGCTACTGGTGCGAGGGCACGCGCAAGGTGGTGAAGCCGTTCTGCGCCGGCCCGGTGACCACCAGGCAGGCGTTCTGCATCATGTTCAACAGCTCCAACGTCAACGACACGCGGCTGGTGCAGTACATATGGGAGACCGGCGAGGACAAGTACGTGATGAGGAAGTTCCACACCGGCATCTGGTTCTCCTGCGAGCAGAACATCAACATGACCGGTGAGTGAGCGCGCGGTGCGCGCGGCGCGGCGCGTCAGCGGAGTCGGACTTGTTGGATGCGACTTTAATCAAAGCAGTTTTGATCGGCCACGTCTCTGACGAGATTTAGAGGATAATCCGAGAAAAAGATGTAAAAAAAAAAAGCCTTTGAAAATAGAAAAAGTTGTGGAGCTACAGAAATGTGGATGGAGCAAACTGTTTTGGATTTTGTTAAAAAGAGAATAAAATAAAATAAGCTGGTGTAAAACTTAGAGAAAAAAAACATACAACTATTTAAGAATAAACGAGACAACCTGCTTATGCATAGTGGTCACAATGATGTGTGTGTGTGTGTGTGTGTGTGTGTGTGTGTGTGTGCGTGCGTGCGTGCGTGTGTGTGTGTGTGTTATCTGGGTATAAACCACCTCATCTGATTGTAGTGTCCATCTGTACAGAGCCCTCTTTTGGAAAACCAGTGTAAGTGCCCAAAAACCACCCCAGACATCCAAGGCTGGTGGTCATCAGAACTGCTAACATATTGGGAATATACTGGCTGTTCTGATATATGAGATAAGGACTTGTATAACTATTTTTATTTTTGAGGGGTTAATAATATCCCACAGCCTAATAGCTATCAATCATCTCCTCCTTGCAGTGAATATGGTGCAGCTGTGGTGCATCATGCTTTAAAAATCAACGTAACCCATTCTGGTGTGAAGATACAGAAAACTGGAATAAGTTGATAAGGAAGCTGAAGATTTTCCACCTTACAAACAACGAGCAAAAGAAAGCATAAAATAAAAAGCTGAAAGTTGAAAATGAACAATATTATTTTGCTGTTTTTATTAGGTCATGTTGAAAAACACACTGTAAAACAGGACAGACGATTTAAAACACACAGAAAAAAATGTATTCACGTGGAAATTGATTTTTTTTTCCTGAAAAGTATATTGTAAAACAGTTTTTCATGAATAGGATTAAACACATTTTAGAAAACACGTCAATGTAAGATGTGCTCTCCAAGAATAAAGTCTCTCTTTATTCTTATTCAGCACCTATTTGAAAAAACTGCTGTTTTTTTTTTCTGTCTTCTTCGCCACTGTGTGGAGATCCTCCACTGATGACTTACAGGACAGTTCCTCAGAGGAGCCTGGACCTCCAGCTGGGACTCTGTCTGACATTACAGGAAAAAAACAAGCAAAAGACATTTGCATCTTCAGAACACCGCAGGAGCATTTTGTTCGCATTGACTCCGTTTCTGTGCTGCACACTTCCTAAAAACGGGAGGATGGAGGCGGAAAGCAAATCTCTTGACAAATTGGATCATTCCGAGATCTCTTCTTCTTTTACTTTTTTATATATATTTTTATCTTCATGTCACAGTTTTATCCCATGCAAGTCCACCTGTATCTTTCTCTCTGTGCATGTCGCAGACTGGGAAAACGCTGGAATACAGATGAGGCCCCATTTTTATTTATCAGTGAGGTGCAGGGGTGGCTCTGCTGTCACCGGGTGTCAATTAAATGTCTCATTTGCATTGTTTTGCAGGTGAAAAATGCCGGAGTTTCATTTATGTGGCGCCGGCGAACGAACGAGGTGAGGATATATGGACACCTTTTGAGCTTTATGGGAACATTCAGACCCAGTGAATGTGTGTGCAACACCTTGAACGTGTGAGACACGGGACGTTTTTTCAGAGGCTGGATGTATTGCGCGTTCGTCTTTAAATGACACAAGTTCAGGCAGATTATATCAAGAGGATCCATGCACGTCACTCAGACCGCTCTCACAGATTCTGCTCTTATTAAACACATGGATTTACACCCGCATTATATGCAGAGGTGGAAGGACGAAAAGGAGCCAACAACTTTCCGCTCCGGTTTTTTTCCTGCAGAAAAACTTCACAATTATACACTTCTTTTTGTTGGACTCTTGTACCAATTCCAACAAAAACACATTGTGGTTTCTTGGTCCGATGTGACACAATGTGAATTGTAACTTCCAGGTTATCTGCCCTTTTATTTTCTTGTTTTGCCACACAAAACTGTTGGTCATAATTGGACGTTAAGGCAGAAAACCTGAAAGCTGTAGGTGTGACATTGTTTCAGGTAATAAGACATGCAACTTAGTCTTAACCTAGACGATGAGGCTGAAGAGCAACATGGTTTTCATCTTAAGGAGGCTGGTGTGTGCTTTGGTTGAAATTCAATAGCTGCGCCTTTTAGTAAATTGTGACCATGTGAGTTCAGCCTTAAAAGCATTAAGCTTGTTTCCTGAAGACCCATTTTTTGTAGTCCAGACAAGCAATCTGCTCCAGATCCATCGTAGATTGGCTTTGTGATGGAGTCAGGTAAGAAGCGAACCGACTCCATGACACTGAAATGTCTGGTGAACTGATCCTGCTTCCCGGTGCAGGCTCCAGTCTCCAAACACGCAACGTTTAATGCATCCTTGAAGGTCACTGCTATGTCCATCGCCTCCCTCCACCAAATCAAACTAAGCATGGCAACTGATTGGAGCCAAGAACAAACCCGGGTTCCCTGCTGCAAAAGGGAAATCGCTAACTTTCTAAACGATTTGAAAATCTGTAACCAGGCAACTGGTTTATGTTTCTCAGAAGCATAAACTGGCTCAAACCGAGAGCTCTCTGAAACAACAGTTTGAAAAGCCCAATCAGTGGTAGAGCACTTTTACATCTGAGTGCTAAAGTCTCTAGTTGTGATTACATTTACATATCATGGTACATGATCATGGAGGGCCCTTAATTAAAGGCTTTTGATTGCAGACGGATTTGGTAGAATGTCTTTAAATGTGCTAGTGTTGACCTCACTTCATACTTTTTAAAATTTTTTTTTACTTATTCTGGAGTTTAGTGTTAAAAATTATGCTTTTTATTTATTTTTTGCAGCTGGCCTCCGAAAGAGTCGTATTTACAAATGCGATTTTAGAGAGCAGTACCTTTCCGTGTGGAGCTGTGATTGCTTTGCCTCTCAATAAAAACCATTCGGTTGCCTAAAAAATAAGGCCATAAAAAGGGTTTATCGTCTCTTTTACCGTAATTGCAACAGCATCACAAAATATGGCGATAAGACTTTATCACCTGTCCCTACGGATCCGTCCAGACGTGAGCTCAGGATGGGCTGCGTCTCCTCACACATCACTCAGTGTGTCCTCCCTCTGTCTGTGAAGGTTAATGACGCAGGTGAAGGGGGTCACTGACCCACCTTTCTCCACTCATCGCGTCTCCTCATCCATCCTCACATCCTTCCCTGTCCCCTGTCTTCATCCTTGTTTGGGGATGTTTCCCTCAACCCCCCACAGAGTGGATGTGGGCTTGTTCTCTGTCTGCGTGGCTCCTTCGTACTAACCTCCCGTCTCCGTAGGAGTGCTGTGGCTGTGCATCGTGGCAGAGTGCCTGTACATCCTGCTGCTGGCCACCGGGGGCATCCTCATGTCTTTAGAAGTTTGTCACATCGGCAACGTCATCGACGGCCTGAAGCTCAACGCCTTCGCCGCCATCTTCACCGTGCTCTCAGGTAACCCGGTTGACACGGTTGTGACTCGATTGAGCTCGACCGTCAGATGAGGAGCTGAAGCTCTCGTTCGGTAAACAAAATCCACTAGAGATGGGCGATATGGATTTTCATCGCGATATTTTGTAATCTGACTGCTGTAGCAAGATAATAGATTGTTGTAAAAAAAAAATTGTTTATTTCTACTTTTCAACGTAATGTTCATAGCACCACAAGCTACAGCCGAAGAAATGATGTGGCTCAATAAAATGAGTATTAAATGACTAAAAACTCTTTTTTTTTTTCCACTGGAACTTTCGATGATAATACAATAAATTTATAAAAGCAACTTTTTCTCATGTCATGGAAACAGTAAAATCTGACACAACACATATGCCCACTACTCTTTTAATACCTTTGTGATAAGAAGATTGTTTTCTTCTAGATTACAATTTGTATAAAACTAGCTGAAGTGTTAGAATAATGACTTTTACGGCAATAGCATCGCTTAACTGTGGTGAAATGTTTGAGGAAATGGTTGAAACATTCAGGTCGGCGTTTATCCTGTAGCACTTGCTGCTGATCTCCCTGAGGCGTTCAAGTCTGAAGTTAAATCTCCAATAACTAAAACCAGCATTTCAGAAGCTTCGCTGTGATTTCCTTCCAAAAATCATCTTAACACAGGAACACTGTCAAATACGGTTGTGTCTCTGCAGACCCATTTGAAACCAGCTCCATGTGATTTGGGTTCTGCTCCAGAGCAAGCGAGCGTTTACCTCTGCCTCCCCCGCTGGCGCTGATCCAGTCGCACGATCGGACCGGCCGCAGCCCCACACCCCCTTAGAAGATTTCCCGCTAGTTTACAGTCTGCCTCTGCCTCTCAGCGGAGGAATTAGCAATGACCTTCTCGCTAATCCACTCTGTGAAAGTGATGCTCAGCCGCCCTCTCTGAGCTGTGGATCAGCAGTGAAAGATACGCGGCTCCACGCCGGCGACTCGCTGCGTCTCACTCACTTGACAGGTCAGATTTAGGAAGGCTGTAAAAAGAGTCATTTTGTGAGGAGTTGTTCTCATTTTACAATGGCGTCTGTCCTAAAAGCTGGCTAAGTTCAGGCCTTAAAAATAAGGATTATACCCGTTCACAATGTTGGAATAGTGTAAATTTTAACCGGGCTTCAAAACAACGTTTTGACTTAGAATGTTTTCACACCTGATAGTCTGGTAGACCTGGTTCAATTGGGGACCACATTTTTAACTTCACTTCAACTTCACAAGTCAAACCATCCAAACTGAGTGAACAAACCTGTTCCCCTCCTCGCCTGTGGTGGCGCTGCACCGAGGACCACTTAGGTCCTCGGTGCAGGACCGAGGACCTAAGTCCTCGGTCTCAGAAGAAACCTCAGAAGAAAACCTCAGAAGAAAACACTGAGCGCAACGTCCTTTTGTTGCAAGATGTAAAAAGTGGAACGGCGTCAGGTTTTAGTGGTTGTACGATTCGTCCTTTGCCATTTCTCCCGTTAGCGCCACACGCTCTCGTTTGCTTTGGTTGTATTTACCCAGAATGCCCTGCACCACAGTTTCTTCTCTGCTTTTAGAGCAGTCTTCGGTCTGCTTGCATTTGCGTATTGTGAATTCAAGCAGTAATTACTGCATTGTGTCAAATTGTCAAAATCATGCTTGTCACGCCAAATGTGTTGCTCAACTTCCCATTCACTGCTAGTCAAAGGCAACTCAGAGGTCAAAGGTGGTTGCTTTGGAGTTTTGTAGCGGCTCCAGCCAGCCGTCTGGAGAAAAGGAGGAGGCGAAACCCCTTAAGCTTTTTGTTGTTTCTGTCCCGCTGGGGAGCAAAAAATCACGTTGTCGGTTCACCGTTCAAGATCTGTCACCGTGTGTCGGCGGCGAAGCAGCTTCCCAGGCTAAGCTGACAACATTGCAGAGGCTTTAGTGCGCTTGCAAAATGTCTGAATTAAGGAAAGGCTTCCAGAAGCCGTTTCCTTTTCTTTAATGGGATGCAGAAACAGGAGATAGACTGCGGTAATGAGGTCTGGAGGAAAAATACAAGGGCGCAAATTAAAGTTTATTGCTGTTGTCAATCATGCATGATATGATAAGAAGGCATCTCAATTTTCTTTTTCTTTTCTTTTTTTGGTGAGCTGATGACGGGAGAGGAACAAGACGATCATTTTTTGCAATATGGAGCCCATTAGAGCGATGAGTCAGGTTCCGATTTTTAACAGCGAAATGTAATCTTGGCAGAAAAAAACAAAAGCGTGACGTTTCGTTTTTTTATTGCATCAACAACTGCAACCCACAAGGATTTGAGCATCAGCCACCCTTTACGACTGGTAGAGCCTCGGGCAAACTGCGTTAAAATAAATGGTTGCCATGGAGGCCTTGTGACCGACGTGTCATTCTCTGGTTTTGGTGACAATGTGCCGAATCCATAGGGGCGGATCTATACGGTCCAGATCTATGCTGTGTGCTCTGAACGACGTCAGGCTTTATCGTTTATTTTACGTTATGTGTAGAATTCCCATTCACACTTTCTGGACTCTTTGAACGGATTGCTGCAGTTTATTCTTTACATGTTTGACCGTGTTTTTGTTTTTGTTTGGTTTTATCACTTTCTTGTTTATTTCACATGGGCTGTTCTACTCCTAATTGCGACGAGTGAACAAATTAAAGCTCATGTCTGATTGAGCTTGCGAAGCTACTGACGTTTTTCAGCGTGCTGCACTGGTGTAGAGTTGTCGGATTTTGTTATTCACTGAATTTATGTCTGTTTTAAAAAAAGAAAGATTCATTTTAAGTCAATTCAACTCTGATTTTCTGTGTTGGATTGTATCGGCCAATATCGAACTTCTGATATCAGTATCGGAAGTGAAAAAAGTAGATCGGTGCTTCCAAAGTCTTCCCATCCACTAAAGTCCAACTAAACTAAGGTTTTTGGTGGAAAAGTGTATCCTAACCTGATACAGGTTCTGCCCAGACCGTGAAACAGTTAATGTGCTTTCTAGTTTCAACAGTTTGACGGTGTCCCCAAAGGATGTTGGCAAATAAGATGGTATTATAGCATCGGCAGACAGAGAGAGAGAGAGAAAGAGACGCTTCTGCAGAGCTTTTCTACCACACTCTGCAAAATGAGTCACCCACTCATGAACCTCCGGGAATCCCATGATTAGACTGCAAATACAAGTGACTCACTTAAGTGCAAAGGAGAAAATACAATTGAGAGATCCATCCCAACACGCATCGGGATGAGTAGCTCCTCACGTCCAATCAGCTCTCAGCCTGGAGCGGCGCCTGTTGCTTTGATCTCTGGACAAACACTGAAACACTGGACAAGCTCTGTCCATGAGCGATTCTAGACCAATCGTCTCGTTTTTGACTCACTTCGGTTTATTACCTGTTTAATGTAAAATACTGAACTTCAACCGAGCATAGAAGGAGGACGCCATTGTTCCGCGCTCATGAACACACCTGGAGGCAGCAAGGAGAATCACTGGCACATGAGAGGGAGACTCGTGTTGGAAATTTGGAGGTCATTATCCTCCGGATGAAGTCTTGCAAAAGGACTTCTTGAACATTCTCACATCTTGTCATGTTGCAAATTCAGAATGTTATTGTATTCTGTGGAATGTTTCACAAGCCACACAAAGTAATGCATAGTTATGCAGAAATAGGAAAAGGAAATGCGATTTAAACTTTGGTACAATTGGAAATCTGAAAAGTGTGGCGTTCGTTTGTCGTCGGTCATGCTAAATGCTAAACCAACCAATAAACAACATCATCCTCATGATGGATTCTGCTTTAGACACCAGATGCTCTCTCTGTGTTTGTCCTAGTTTTTCTTTTTCTCAATTTGTTTCTATGTATGTATAAAATTCCAGATATATAAATTCTGCAGCCTTCCAGATAACCGTCTGATCCACTTGTTTTGTTCGTCGCCGAAGAGACAAAATCGCGTCAAATCATTCATTCTGACTTTGCTGTCATCTACTGGTCAATCAAAACAAAAACAAAAAATCAAGAAACGTCTTTCATCCCGAGGCAAAGCCTTCCCTGATCTACATGGCATTATGACAACGGTGTACAGGAATATTTTAAAATGAAACACGGGCATCATGTAGGGGTTTGCTGCTGAATCCGGTTCACTCTTGTTCAGCGGAGGGATTTGGCGCCGGGAGGTTATGCGGTAATCGGATTGGGAGGCTCCAGTTGTTTTCACACTTTTTGTCCTCCGCAGGCATTCAGTGGTTCATGTAAGGAAAGCCAGAAATTAAAAGAAATAAAGAAAAAAACAACAACAACAACAGGAAATGGCAGAAAGAAAGAAGCTCAATTTGTGGCTCCTTTCTCACATTTCCAGATTTCACAAGCAATCTGGAAACACGTGACGTTAAGTTATATTTTCAGTTGAAACTCTGCAAGGATCAACGCAAAGTCCAGTGAGAACGACTTCAGTCTTCAGTAGTCGGGTTTATGAAGGAGAAGCGAGGAGAAAAGCATTTCAAAAAGAAAGCGACACCATGTCTTGTTCAGAAATATGTAAAAAAAAATAAATAAATACATGTATACATATGTATATATTTAATAAAAATTACATACTGCACTTTAAGATGTCTTTATCTGGGACAAACTCTCTAAGTCGGGTCATAGATTATTGTGTCCCAGGTTTTCTTTATGCAATGCTGCCACCAAGTGGGGACATTTTGGAAGTGCAGCAGTCACATGTTTCCCTCTCTCTCTGTGTGTGTGTGTGTGTGAGGCAGGTCTGTTGGGTATGGTGGCCCACATGATGTTCACCACAGCTTTCCAGCTGACCGTCAGTTTGGGTCCAGAGAACTGGAAACCTCAGACGTGGGACTACAGCTGGTCGTACATGTGAGTACAGCTTACCTCACCGTGGCAATTATTACCTGGTTGTATGAAACACGTAGAAAAAAGTACAACAGAGTAAAGCAGCATTATGAAATGAATAAATAAATAATCCTAGAATGAGATAAACAGGCCAACTGGGATTGACAAAAGAAGCTGTCTGTTAAAAAAAGAAAAAAAAGTTAAATATTTTGTTTTTATTTCATGGGAACATTTATTTGAATTGTTTATTGACAGGAGTCTTTATTTATTTGTGTAATTTCAAATGGAAGTGAAAAGGCTCTCCATATAAGATGTATTAATACTCTCAGTGGGAACCATCTCCACGCTTTGGGTTGAATGGAGTTCATGGATTGGCTGCTTTTCAACTGCCAGCCAATAGTGTGTCTAGTAGCATTACAGGTATCAGGTATTTCAGCTTCCAAAGCTGCTTTTGCTTTTGTATATTTTCCATATTTGAGTCGTGAACAGGCGAATCCACTGAACGTTGGCGATCCACTTTAACCCTTGAGTGAAGCAACATCAGCAGTTAAATTTAAATCAAACTGTTTAAAAGGGATTTTACGCCCCCCAAAAAACTGTGGTCTCTCTAGAATGAAAGCATTCTTGAACGTCACATTTGTAAAACAATATGCTTAAATAAAAGCTGAAGCTGTCATCGTCCGGGAGTAAAGCGACTTTGTTCTCTGTTTCGCAGACTGGCGTGGAGCTCCTTCACGGCCTGCATGGCGTCCTCGGTCACCACCATCAACCGCTACACCAAAACCATCCTGGAGTTCAAACACAAGCGCAGGAACATTGAGAAGAACCTGAAGATCAAGCAGAAGCTGCTGGAGCTGGACTCTCCGGAGCAGGTGTGGGACATGTACATCAGCTCGGTGCCGAGCACCGCCGAGGAGCTGCTGGACCTGTCGACCAGCGGCCGCAAACTCTCCAACGCCTCCATCTTCCTGGACCTCAACGACCTGCCCGACCCGCAAGGAGAGGAGTACTGCTAGAGGAACTAGCGAGGCGATGGATGTTACGATGCAGTGTGAATGCTGTAAAAAGGCTAGCTGACAGTTTGAACTTTTCTTTTCCGCCACACAACTTTGATCGATCGACTTCCGGCTCTGCTTTGCTCTCTGCCGGGTCCTTATTGTGCTGATTCTGCTGGTTTGAATGACGATTTAACTGGTCGGTCCAACCGTCTGGTCAACCTGAATTTAACCGTGGCGTTAATCCGTGGGTCTGTGTAGGTCTGTGTGGATCTCACCAGCAGCAGAAACTGTGTGATTTCCTTGTACTAAAACATCAGCCCTGCTTTTCAATGCCTGCTTTGAGATGCTGTATTTTCTAATGTACGCGGAACATAAAACATAATCTACGATACAAAGTTGCACCGAATCCTTGGCAGTTCCCAGGATCCCAGAGATGCTTTTCATTTTTTCATTTGATTTGTTTTTGTGAATCTGCTTTACCAAGCAGACTTTACTGAACTTGGTGTCGACGTGAAGCACAGCAACAAAATCAATCCACTCTGAATCAAGACGGCGGCGCAGGGCCATCGGTTCGCCCTGAGACCTTATGAACAACTACAAAATAAACAGTTGAGTCGTAAGTTAAATGACGACAGATTTCTTTATTGAAGCTCTGATTACTCATGCTAACTAGCAAGAAACCTCACGAGCTGACATGTAAACTTATGTACAAAATGTCTATATTTTCCACGCAATTTAACATATGAAAACTAATTGATAGTTTTTTGGGGGGCTTTTATTACAAGGAGTCAATATCGATCAATGCTTTGAAAGATTTCTGTTGTTTTTATCACAATCAGATGTTTTGCAAAATGGATCAAATGTTAATATCAGGCGAGGTTAATCAGAGACGGGTAATCCATTTTAAAAAATGGAAAAATACAATTTAAATCGGTCTGACCGTAAATGAGACTTGTGATTGATCCAAGAAGTTCTGGCTCAGAAATTGGAGGAATGATGTACCATAAGTCTCGGCCATCATCGAGATTCTTTGGGGAGCAAACATGAGAGAGCATTTTGTGTTCTTTTGAGTCAGGACTTGTTTTTTGTTTTGTTTTTTACATCGGAATCGTCCTGGATGAGTAATTGAAGCGTTCTCTGAGCAATTTTGAAGTTCACCTGTGTTCTAGGATTTCTCCGTTTTCTATTCCAAAGCCTCATCTACAGCTTTATTGCTGACTTTCTGATCTGTCTCAAATATTTCTATACCAGTGAATGATTTGTTGCTTTTTCATGCCGTCAGGCTGGTTGGATTTAAGTGATTTTCTGGATCCCTCCGATCAATCAGTAATGAGGTGGTCAGTAAAACTGGTTGGTTCAGATAGCAAATGAAAAATTTACATTATTTTTTTGATTGATCATCTGAAACTTTGAAGAACTCTGTGAAAGGGTAAACTATAACGCCCTTGTATCTAAGATGTCTGGAACGCAACATAAATCCGGTTGAACCTCTTGACAAGTTGCTGAGTTCTTCATATTACTTTCCAGTAGCGATGTTCGGCTGCTAGGCGTTGTTGCTACAAAGGAAAACGACTCCTTCAATGTGGCTTAATGACTGCCACGTTGTGGGACGAGAGTCACGAGAAGGAACAAATTGGACAAAAGATCAATGAATGAACTGACTCGATCCCCGTCCCAGTAAACGCAACATAACCCAACGCAAGCACACACAACTGACTGATCGTTGGACTTCTCCAACCGAAGAAGTCAGTGACTCTTCACGGCTGCAGATGCCGACTGCCAGTCTCTTCTTTCAGCAACTTACTTAACGTATCTCTGAGAGACGAATCACTGCCTTCTTTTCAAACGAACCAAATGTAGTCGTCTGGACTGAGGGGGCGTAAGCAATCTCCGAGAAGTGAACTGAAAGACTCTGCTCTTTCACTCTCTGACCCACGAGAGGCTGGATTAAAGGGAGGCTGTGTGGATGTGGATGTGGGATGCCTAAAGGAAACGCTGAGTGCCTTTACATCCAGAAGCATGTTTCCAACCTGCTGAACAAAGGGCAAAGTTTCTCCGACTAACCCCGATTCCAAAGCAACGGGTGGCCATCCGTACAAATTGCCAAAACTTTTCCTCTTTCTAAGCTTTTCTGTTTGTACTTTATGTCGACAATGCAGAACTTGATACTTTTAGTCCAGCAGCATTTTAAGTGCATTTTGACTAAGATTCGATTATTTTTCTGCCAGCTGGGTTCATAAGGCCAGAGGATGAATCTTTGGTCGTGATTTGTGTTTCATATCTTACAGTATTTACAGTCTCTTTGTGTGGTGTCTCTTTTGTGGGTGATTATTTGCGAGTTATTATAATATAAAGATTTACTAACAGATTTTATTGAAAGATAAGTGGGGGGTAAAAAAAGAAAAAGAAAGCATATATCATAATAAAGAATGTAATGAAACTGTTTTTCAGATGTTGAATTTAAAGACCACAAGGTGGCAGTGTTGCCTTTGTATTGGTGGTGAGCGATTCCCCACCTCAACAAGAAGCAGGAGAGTTGTTATGGAATCAAACAAAATCCAATCAGTCCCCAAATTAAAACCTTTATTTACATTTTTGTGGCGAGCTCCAGGCTTTTTACATCATTTCAGTTGGATTTTATGGACTCATTCAAGATGTTTTTTTTGTCTAATGTAAATGTTTCAGATATTCAAATAAATTAAATAAACTACAAAAACCAAACGATTTCATTTTTGACCAACCTGACCCTGCATGAAAACATGACTGCCGTTCTTGTTGATTGAACTGTGATTCACCACATGTTTGCTAAGTGATTCATCATTAATTCCTGATTATAAACGCCCATAAATACATTTAGTGAACTAAGAAACTCAAAGAAGCAACAGATTGAACCAAAGGCGCCCCAAAAACACAGACCTGAGAGGTTTTTGAGGCTTTTAACCCCAACAAACCTCACTGCATCCATGGGAGAGTCAAACCGTTCAAACAAAAAAAAAAAAAGAAAACAAAGATCCATCTCATTTTTGCCAACAAACATCTTGATGGGTCTTAGAAATATTCTCTGGACTACCAATAGAAAGTGAATTTTTTAGAGTACATTAGAAATTGTTCGTCGCACTGACGGTTATTTGCTTCATTATCTGGATGACTTGCCCAAACCAATGATTTGAACACTTTTTTTTTTGTTACTCAGTTTGTCCATGTCTGACAAAAAAAAAAAAAAGTTTATTTAACAGCCTAAAATGTTTAACGCCAGTGTGACAAAAAGGCCAGACATGAACAAGGTGTCAAGTACTTTTCCCCAGCATCGTACATTTAAAATATTCTCATGTCGTTTAATGCGAATCGACACAAATAACTCTGGGAAAGCGGCGTCTTTGCTTAAAAATATTTTTAATTTATTTTTTCCCCTGTTGGACAACTAGTGCAAAATACATGCAAACTGAAAACCGGGAACTGTGTGAGGAAGTTAGCGGGCAGCACGTCCAACGTAACGGTGTTGATGTTCGGTTTTCCTATCCCGCCGCCCCGCTTGCTCTGCTCGAAGCGGCTGGTCCACCGCTCTCGCTAACCTAAGCAAAGCATAGAAATGAGCCAAGTGATCCACGCCAGTTCCCACTACATCCATTTAACCACATTCATTATTCAAGGATACAAAAGCACTCAGTCAGACCTGAGCTCACATATTCCCTCATCCGCCCCGCCCGCCGCCGCTCAACTCCGCCTGCTGGCCGCATGAAAGATTCATGCCTGGCTTTTTGGAAACGATGCTGGCAGGACATCTTTTTTCGATGTGTCCGCCCGATTGCCCTTAAATTCTTAAAGTCTGAGTCTGGGGAGGAAACAAGAGGGTCTGTGAATGAAAACGTATTTGTTGTCAGTGTTTTCCTCCACGGCCTGGAAAACTGTGGAGTATGTCAGGTTTGGAAAATGATTGATTTCTCCGGACATTTCCTCCTTCTTCTAATGTCTAAAGACAAAAAATGAAATGGCTTCGCTTCATCTGTGAATTGCTGCGTAACGCCTCGATTTCAGCTTTGCTGTTTGACTTCATGACTGGATCCATACTCATTCAGATATAATCAGGGGCCATTTCACATGCCTGGTGTTCAGACAGCTTCAGTTCAGGCAAAACTGGCTGTAGCAGCTGCAAAATAAAAAGATTAAAGGTTTTTTTGTTTTTTGTTGTTGGGTGGTTGGGGGATGGGGTTTCTAAAGTAACGGATCCAAAGCTCAAAACATTGTTTTTTAAGAAACCTGCTTTGCTCTAGGACAGAGGTCTGCAACCTGCAGATTCTGCAGAGGCATTTATTTTTTACATAGAGTTCACTCAGAGCCCCAAACGTTACATGACCTCTTGAAAAAAAAGAAAAGACAGCTTATAATTGTCTACTAAAGAAAAGAATCAACATTTCGTCTCTTTAAAGTTTTCAAATAATGAAAAACGTTTTGCAAAAAGAAGATAAGTACATTTTCTTTTACAGAATATTGATACTTGTGGAAAAAAGATGCAAATTTTCAAACTAATGACAAGAAAAATTGATAATAAAAAAATATGCGTCAGTGGTACTTGTGGAAATTCAATGCGGTTATTCCATGGAAAACTGTTAAAACTTGCATTTGTCATGACATCTGGAGTTAAGAACATTGGTCGCCGACCCCTGCTGTAGAATATTCCATTCCTAATCTGACATGTTCAAGATTTAAAGGCTTTGAAATGAGTAAGTCCAGAAGCTTCATAAGCAGAAAAATTGTCCAAATTCACACTCTGACAACCAAAAGCCACGTCGACCATTGTCTTGCTTTGTTTTTCATATTGATGAAACTTTTTCTTTTTTTGAGGGAAAAACCTACAGATGACAAATACAGTCTGACTCAAAGTAAATATTTGAAAAAAGAAAAGTGTTGTAAAAACTGCATGACTTAAATCTGAGTCCTGAAGCGTGTGGAATATTTAGGGGACGACGTGTAGGGACCCTGAGTTCTTCGCTTCCTTGCACGACTGCAACCGATTGTGAGTCAGACACCAAAAGCCGCTCCGCTTTCCGCCGCTCGGCGTAAAACCGCATCCTACGGCCGCCACGGTTTCACTGCAGCTTTCTCAAAAGCACAAAGAGTGTATCGCTGACATACAAAGATGTCAACACGACTGATTGATCCAGACAGAACATATTGACACTGGGATTTGGGAGTGCAGTCTGCTGAGATGCTGCCTGGCTGTCTGAAGACATTGTTGACTCTGTTTTGCGCGCGTCGAGCCGTTCCGTCTGCCGCCGTCAGGCAGCAGATTTGCGCTTGAGCGGTGTCAACAGAGGCGTCTCGTTCCACACAGGTTACGGATCAGTGCCATCCGAAGTTTTGCCCTGCGAGCTGGTAGAAGCGCTGGTTGTGAGGCTTGTAGAAATCCCTCAGCTTCCGGATCACCTCGGGGTCTATGGAGACGTGTGTCCTCCCTTTTGTCTTCCCCAGACAGTGGGGTTTACTGCTGCCCTCCGGCTTCTTTAGGCAGGGAAAGCCTTTCGTTTTGTTGAAGTAGAAGTGCTTGTCTGTGACTATCCTCTGCAGACCCAGAAAGTCCTGGACTTTGCCCAGTTCTCCAGCCGGGTCTGAGATGAGCCTCTCCCCGCTGACCAGATGGATCTGATTCCTGGGGAACCAAGCCAGCCAACGCTCCATGTGTTGGGCGTAGAGGCCAATCCACAGTGGGCTCCACAGAGAGTCAATCTGACCTAGAGATACAGGTAGGGACAAGAAGGGTTGGTTATGATGTGGCAATGTTTTTAGGCCAGGGTCTGGATAAGGAAACATTTGGTTCTTGTCAACGGCATGACTGAGGTCAAAGTATCTGAGTTGCTACCAGGCTAACTAATCCAGACCGTAATAATTGATACTCAGTGCAAAATGAAGGTGTTGATAATGTTGGATTCAACATACAAACACAGAGTGGTCTTGAACTTTGCAACCTGGTGGCTTCTTTTGGTAGCATGCTAAGAACCTGTTAGCGACCTAGCCAGGGAGCGTAATAAGATTTGATTTAATAAACAGCACAGACTGACCTTAAGTTTCTTTGTGGTTGTCCTGAAAGTTTGTGAGCATAAGTAGCTGACTTGGAGCACATGACTATGTTTGCATCTTCATTTTTCTATGGATAAAACTTTCCTAATGCCAATGCTAAAGGTAGCTAATGGTTAACTAAGGAGAGACAAACACCCAGTTGGATCATCTTGACCATGATTGATCCTCCAGGAGATGTTGATACTGCTGAAATGTTAGGGTTTTTTTATACAAACATGCAAAAAATATCAAACAGCCTCTAATTTGTGGTTGCTTTGAATACATGAGAACTCAAAAGTCATGGATGATTTCTCAGATGATTTTATTTGCTTCATATCACCTCCGGGTCTTACTATTGGCAAAGCTCAGGCCCTGGTGATTCTGCTCTTATATGTGCCCATATGTGCTAGATGTTGAACAAAGTAAGAAGAAAATGCTGCAGGTAATTACTGTGTCACATCAAAAAGCTAAAACACATTTTTATGTCGATTACAAGCTTTGTCATATAAGTTGTACACTGAAAAAACTCAAAGCGTACCTGTGGTGCGGTTCTTGAAGGCCAGGCTCTCAAAGGATGGGATGTCGGGGGTCTTGGAGATGATCTGCGTGTAATCCGATATGGCTCGCGTCACGGGGTCGCGAACGACCACTATCAGCTTCACGTCCCGCGACATGGCGTGGACCCGTGCCGGCGTGTCCACTGTGACGAAGTACCGGGGCGTCTTCTCCATGACGATCTGCCCGTCCAGGGCTTTGGGCATCATACTTCTGGAGGTAGAAGGCAAAGTAATTCAGGTCAGACGATTGCTTTCAGAAGTCTGAACACCCACCTCTGCTCAAACAACAGGCTATAACTTTTTGTTTAGCACGTTAGTCTTTTTTGCTAAATTAGCTTCCTCTAAATAAATGTATCTAAATGCTAATTTACCTAGCTGTTTTCAGTTGAGTAAAGTTTATGTTGAAGTTTTGGTTATTGACTATTTATAATTCTTCGGTCATTCATTCCAGATGTCTTCAAATCAAAGCCTCGAGTTTCCCGAGGTGTTCCTGGTTATTTACACAAATGTTACATTAACAAAGGTAAAACAAGGTGAATTTCGCATTTGCCCTTGTATTTTTAAATAAAGCATAGCACTATTACCTCATCTGATGAAGTTATATTTCCCATCATCACAAAGATGATGCAAGTTTTTCTCTGTTGTAAATTTGTTCAGTATGTAGAAATATCCTTTGTCAACAGTGAGGTCACTCATCCCCACACACACACACACACACACACACACACACATGCACACACACACGCACGGTCTGCCTCATAGTAGCCCACACCCCATTATTCATCACACTAAACACATGACAGCATGAGCAGTGACAGGGCATCGTAACCCTGACCGACATGCAGATGAAATACAAAGAGTCTCTTCCTGGTCCCATCCAGCGCTGTGCTCCTCTGTCTCCACACCCAGCAGATGGGATTCATTTAGCAGTGAATGACTCCAGAGGCCCTGCAGGACCGGCTGGAGGCTCGGGGGACATCTGCCAGTACACCTGCCACACACCTGGTGGGCCGGCCGAAAACACGCGCAGCATCTTAGCTCGTACGGACGGTAGACCCGCCTAACGTAGCCTGGACTGCTGGATGCAGCTTTCAAACCTTTTCCGAAGAAATGGTTTGAACAATATCGCAGAGAATGGGCAAAAAACCAACGACAAAATAAAACTTTTCACAAAAAGAATTAACGTCTTTATGGACATTAGGTCTTAATTTTTTTCTTACTTTATTCAGCTCTGTCCATCCTGTTGTATCTGGGGTAAAACCAGCACAGCATTTGGGGAGAAGTGTATCATTGTCCTTTTGCTATTTTGCCTCTCTAGTGCCTGGAGTCGTCATCAGCATGACAACAGACTGGACCCATAAATTTTGTTCTGCTCTTTTGAGTTGAGGAAAACGACCCAGAACTCACCCAGAAGCCCACAGAATGGCTGGCAGTGACTACTTTTGAGTGGCATAGTCAAAGTCTGGAGATGCTGTGACGTAAATTCAAACTGGGTTTATTTTGTTGTCCTGTTTGAGAACCTTCCAATGAGACTGGATTAAAACGATGCAGCCAAGGGAGGCACAACTAGTCATTAAGTTTAGGGGGAAATGACTTTATTCCCCCACATAGGAATGGGTTGAATACATTTTCAGGTTATTTTTGTCTGACTGAGGGGAAAACATTTTCCACAGCATTGTAAATGATTTAGTACAGAAGCTTTTTGTGTCCTCTACTGGCAGATTTGCTCTGCTATTTGGCGAGTCAGGGCTCTAACAAAGATAAAACAAACAAAAAAGAAGGTCATCAAACCGGGCTGATGTTAGGATTCAATGCGTGACCCTGTCACAGCTTCAACCTGAAACCACCCTCACAAAAAGATGAAATAAATGAAACCCACACCGACTTTTACAAAAAATTTTTTCAGGAATCTTTGTTTTTTGTCGCTTTTTCCTACTTTGATATTTTTTTTTTAAACACATTGTCTACTGTTTTACATAACTGAAAGAAAAAGTTTTCATTGAGTTTTCAACGTGGCATTAATAAAAAAACAAGCAGAGAGAACACACACACACACACACACACACACACACACACACACACACACACACACACACACACACACACACACACACACGTAGCTGATAAGAGCCAGGACAGGATGCTCTGGCAGCGTTCTGCTGTCGGCTCAGGTTTCAGGTGCTCCTGAAACACAAACCTCCCATCAATATCTTCTCAATTCACATCTGACAAACACACACACACACACACACACACGCACGCAACCATGCAGCGATTCCTTTTGATAAGATGAGTGTGAGGCAGTTTTCACCGCCGCTTAGCCTGAAGACTTCCCTTTTAACTCTAATAACCCAGAGCAGGAGGAGCCACGCAGTCTGTTACACACACGCACACGCAGAGCTGGCATGTGCAAGCTACACACAAACACACACACAAAATGCAAAAACACAAACATACACTCATTATTCACTCATTAGTCAATTGCTCACTATATTCCCTCAGCTCTCCCTGTGGACCCATTTCTGATGGACACACACACACACATAACAAGAGGCATTTTTTAAAATCACACACAGACTTAAGAGGTGGGTGTGATGGAGTTTTACAACAGCCTTTAAAGGCAGCCTGTCTGCGTGTGTTTATGTATATATATTTATATGCGTATGTGTGTGTGTCTCAGATCTTTTGCTGAGAGTGTTTCAAATGATAGGGGTGGATGACGGATGAAGGAATGATGCCAGTGGACGCAGACGCGCCTCCATTAGCAATCTGTTTGTGAACAGCCTCAGAGCCAAGAGCCCCATACCATTACCTAAGCACAAAGAGCTAATTACCGCCCCCATAAGAGCACCGTCAAAAGAAAATATGTCTTATAAATACGTTTCTGCTGTCAGCTTAGCGCACGCAGACCACGCTAATTGATGGACAAAATAGCCGTTCGCTCGTCGAGCCACAAAAACCCGGGATAGAAACATACACTGCCGAGCCTGAGAAACACATCTGTGACTTCAGATCTATTCAAATGAAAACATTGCGTTGCATAACGTTTACTCGGCAACACAATGCAGTTTGGTATTCATGTGTCAATTACACGTCACGAGGGTAGCTTGTAAAATTGGCTGCCTTGTGGGTGGCTCTGAAGCCTTCAGCAAAAACATTCATAACGAACTTCCAGCGTGTTTCATTATGATCTTACGTCACATGCCGACACAAAGGAGCACAATAAATACGACACTTCACTCAAAAAAAGAGGTAAAAATGTACAAAATGCAACTAGTAGCATATCCTTTAAAAAAATGACTGTGCAGGTCGTTGTTGATGTCTCAAAACGACTAAGCAGAATTTAATTGTATTTTATCGGTATTGAATGAGCAATCGATTCTCCCCAACGGGAAATTGAATTGCCTTACACTTCCGCCCCAGGAATTGTGCCACACAAACATAATTAAATCAATAGTTTTTACTTAAGAAGTTCTTGAAATCTACTCGGTTATATGACTTGTCACTTTGTTGTGAAACTTTTTTTTATTTTTATACACCTGAAAACAGAACATTGCCCAAGACAGGTGATGAAACACAAAACATCAGGTTAACATTGTGTGGTTTTGCCACAGCAGTGACCTCTCCTTGACTTCATCTGTAAAATAGGAGGTAAAACCTGCCGACACACCAGCAGGTCATCTGGAGGCACCATGTGTCAGAGAAAGTCCCCTCCCAAAACAGGGCAGCCAAATTAATTGGCAGTTTAAATTCCAGCTTCAGCCGCATCTCTGTGCTCCTCGTTTACTGGTTAGTGCGAGATCAAACGTACAACATGATGGGCAGAGGGATTATCCAGCAGCTTACATTAAGCCTCAGCTTGCCTTTGAGGAACCTCTCTTTTTGTCGTTCATTTTCCAATATTGCGGCGAGCCTCCCTCGTGAGTTACCTTGGGCCGGCCAAGGCCACGGGCTATTGATCCTGCGGGGTGGGGATCCCGAGTGTAGCCGTGGACCTGGATGGGATTACATGTATTTATACTGGGAGCGTTGTGATGGGGCGTATGAAGCGAGGAGGTGTTAGTGATGATGGAGGTGTAGAGGCGGCGGGGGCTCAGCTGGGACCGGAGAGTGGCAGGTGGAGGCTGAGGTTAGCCAGATCCCTCCGGAGCCCCATCAGTGGCATGCTGTGTCATGTGATGTGTGCCGCGTCTGTTAAAAAATGTGAAGCAATTACTTTGTCCTTCTCTAAGTCCGTTAGGGCGTAGTCGGTGGCGGGGGTGGGATTCAGTTTATCACCGATATCTGTGTCAGGAATGAAACGGCAGCCAATCAAATTACATTTACTCTTCACAGGCAACCGCAGGTTTCTGAGCAGATTATGGGATTTGTGTTTGTTTCCTCTTTTTCATACATTTGCATGAGTGTGTTATTGGGAGAACCACTCATCCATTTCCTCTGTATGAGGGACTATTAAGGAATCAGTCCATTATGGCTGTGCCCTGTCCACTTCCAGGAGACATCCATCATACAGGGGCCCCGGGTGCACACCCCCCACACCCTGCACTTTTGGTTTCCAAAGCCCCAGGGGAGGGCCTTAATGAGGGCCGGATAGCTCCACCCATCTGGGCCTTATGGTGATCACCATCAGTGCAGTACAGTGACACGGTGGGTAGCTAGCACCTGAACCCCAGCACGGACATAAGTGATAGTCTACGCGACATCACGTCTGTCGTTTAGTCACCTGGAGGATTAACAATGCTTCGAGGTACGCATTGGCAAGAGGCCCCACGTCATGTCATCAGAAAATGCTTTAGCACTGGCTGCTAGTAAATACGCATTGGACGTATTTACTAACAGGTTTGCAATCTTCTCCGATTTGGACGCTGATTAAAATCTATTGTTCAAGCACAAGAACACAAGAAGCACCATGTGTTTTGTGTAGCAGAACAAGGTCGTCAATGTATCGGTATGAATTTTTAAATCTCACAGGAGGATCTACAGAAATGTTCAACTAATACAGTTGTGAAAATTTGTTTTTCATAAACATTGATGCCAACTTTGGTGAAATTATTGGCCAATCATTATGTTGGGACATTTGCTTGCAAATCATTTGTATCTTATCCATCATTCTGGCATTGTGTCTTTTATTCTAATTTTGTCAGATAAAGGATTTAAAGCTAAATGCCAGTCTTCCAATTCCAACAAAACAGGACAAAAACTTAACAGCTG